GAAACAGCATTTGTTGAGTACTTTGTATGTGCTGGTCAGCTCCTAATCTTAGGAATGTTCCATGTTTCCCTATGTAAGACCTGAGGAGAGTATGATGTGGAATCTGCAAGTGACACCTGCAATTCAGATAGTATTCCTCTGTACCCTCATCCATTCTTGTGTGTAAATGTTAAATGATGACTAAAACACTTCATGAATCCACCTGAACTGGTAGAATGAGGTCGGTTGCCCTCATGTTAGCCCTCATCCAGTCAAAGGTCTGAATAGAACAAAAAGGCCGATGTTCCCAAAAGTAAGGAATAACTTGACTTGCCTCACTACTTGAACTGGGGAATCAGTCTTTTCCTGCCCTTGGACTTGAACTGCATTTTCTTGGATCTCTAGTCTCCTTCAGACTGGAATGCTGTGTGTCTTCAGCTTGCTAACTGCAGATGTTGGGACTCGGCCTTCAAAGTCACACAAGCCGATTATAGTGGTCCCCCCTTGTCCATGGAGGATACCTTCCCAAGACGCGCAGCTGTTGTCTGAAACCTCAGATAGTTTGAAACTCTACATATATTATGTTTTTTCAGTCCAGTAACTGAGATGGCTATGAGTGACTAATGGGTAGGGTATATACAGCATGGATATACTGCACAAGCAGATGGTTTATATCCCAGGCTGATTGGAGAGGGAGAACGTGAGATTTCACCATCTACTCAGAATGGTGCACAATTTGAAACTTACACATCAGGGCCAGTGGTGCAGTAGTAATGTGTAATGCTTTGACAGGCAGACCTACATAGGAAAGTTACTAGTTCATGTTCAGAGACCTTACTGAGTACACTAGGCACCCATCTGCCCATGACCTAGACTGACTGAGTCTGGGTGTTGATCATGGCACTGGAACCCTGTCAGGGTGCTGAGACCTGACTCTGTCTCTCTCAATCATGAAATGCTAATGTTTTTTAACTTATAAATTTATTTTTAAATTTTTCCCTATAATATCGTTGAACCACAGTTGACCACAGTTGTAGTTAAAACTGCAGAAAGCAAACCACAGATAAGAGAGGACTATTGTAGGGTTTTTTTTTTTTTTTAAGACCACTGTATTTTTTTTAAGACTACTATAATTTTGATAAATTTATTTATATGTATATACATATATGCATATCCTCTTGATTCTTTTTCTATGGAGAATTATAATTAATACAATCTGTCAGGCAAAAATTAGCCAACCAGATGTCAGGGATTCTGGCCAAACTTAATAGCCTGGCAGAAGAATTCAAAGCCTGCCCTATATCCCACTTGCCCCATCCATCTCTTGGATGATCCCACCAGGCCAGGCTCAGACATCATTTTGAAGTCTCTCTTTGGCTACAACACCATATACTCACTGTAGATATTTTCCCCTGCTCACATGCTTATTTCGAAACTTGAAGAAAAGAGCACTACCTCAGTGACCCTCTAGGGACCCTCAAGATCACAGATTATAATAATTGTATAATAATGTTAGTGCTGATGGTTAACATTTATTAACCAAGTGCTGTAAATGAGTGATCTCATTTGCTCTCCCAGCAATCCTTAGCAATAACTACTATCAGCATTATTTCAGAAATGATAAAATTAAACCACACAGAAGTTAAATGCCTTTCTCAAGATTAATCAGCAAAGGATAGAGCTAATATGAACTCAGTAAATCTAATTCCAATCTTGGGCTCTTCAACAGATAATCTTTAAAGTCTCATTTCAACCTGATATTCCCCAAGTCTCTAAACGCATTAACATTGAAGGCATGAGGTGTCAGCCTCATAACTCTGTATTAGGCCCCAGAGTTTCTAAGTCCTGTTCAGCTGTTACGGAGTTTCAGAGGTCATGCAAGCATGGTAGAAGAAAGATCGTGGGGCCATCTAGTATCACGGAGGCTACAACGTTGGATCCTGTGTAGTTGATTGTGCAGTTCAAGTCTCAGACCTTGTGACTTGAAAAACATACCATGTGTGTGCATGTGTTCCCAAAATCTCGAAAGGAGGGAGAGATGGAGAAGGGATTGCAGTGTGACCAGTCTCCATGAGGAGTGGTTTTTAATTTCATCTTTCTCTCTCTCCCTCTGGTAAATTAAAAAAAGAGAGGGAGAAAGAGAGAGAGAAAAAGAGGAAAGAAAGAGAGAAAGAGAGAAGAGAAAGAAAGAAAGAAAGAAAGAAAGAAAGAAAGAAAGAAAGAAAGAAAGAAAGGAAGACAGACGAAAGAAAGAAGGAAAGAAAGAAGGAAAGAGAGAAAGAGTAAGTGAGTGTGGGCCCGGGAGCCACAAAGCTTGAAAATAAGCCCCAGCTCCATAACATACCATCTGTGGGAAGCTGGGCTCCTAAACTCTGTGAGTCTCAGTGTTCTCTAAACTGGTAATAATCATAATCATGCCTGCTCTTCCTAACCCACGGCACTATTCCGAGGATCACAAGGAAAAGAGTATGTGAGAATGCTTTGTAAATTGTAAAGTGCCATACAAATATGAGTTATTATTATTTCCAGCTGGTGTTGTCTGGGACTACTTGAATGAGGGCATTATAAATGATTGATAAGACTTTATGTGGTATTTGTGCTTTAAGGGGGAGCAAGTCTTAGTCAAATGATTGAAACTTTGGTATGGAATGTTGGTTGCAACACTCTAAATAGAGAGGTTTGGGCAAGTGAATGGGGGTTGGGTCTATGTCCTAAATACAGGCAGCCTTATTAGATTCCAGAATTAGAAATTGCTATCAAGTGTTGGCTACTATTAAGTTATTTTTTGAACAGGTCAAAGAAAGTAATAATACACAAATACTTATTTGAATGCTTACCTTGTATCAGGTATTATTTTAATTATCTTATATGCACATATTATTTAATCTTTACAATGATGCAGTGAGATGAATATCTCTATGGGTACTGTGTCCATCCCTATTTTTCAAATGAGGAAAAGAAGGTTTAGAGAAGTTAAGAAACTTTTCTAGAGTCACACAGCTAATAAGTGGTAGTTTGGATCTGAACTAAGTAATTCTGGCCTCAGGGCCAGAAGGAATCAGGAAGGAAGAAAACCTGTATACTGAATATTCTCCAGACAGATTATTCTGAGACTGGTGAGGGAAAATGGACAGACTTCCAGAACCAAAGGATCTCTAAATGAGACATGTTGTGAGCGAGTCAAAGAAATGTCCTGGACCTATCACTACCCACCAGGTAGAACATGTTCTCTCTCACATCTATGAACTATAATGGAGTCACTATCACTGCATGGAAATATAAACTGGGTGCTGTGAAAATGCAGGGGCAGGGTGAAGCTGAGAGTGGGGAGGGCCTTCAGGCAGAGAAAACGTTCAGGTAAATCTTAGAGAATTAATATATCTAGCCAGACACAGAGAAAATGGCATGGAATGTATAACATGAGCAGAGCTATAAGAAATTAGGTAGTAGATGTTAATAAGCAAAAGGCAACATGGGAGAAGTAAGAGAAGGGGACAGACCTAGGGTTTAGGTTATGTGTTAAGACAGGAAATAAAATGTACTTTCTTGAGCTGGCTCCATAGTATAGTTGTTGGGTGTTATGTGGAGGGAGCCAAATCTCAAATGACTGACTGATGTTTGAATCTTAGGCCTGGCATTATGAAAAACACACCAGGTTATGTGTGCTGAAGATCCTGATAGGATGGACGAATAGAGAAAGGGGGATTGTGGTGTGACTACTGCAAGAAGGGGAGCGATCTCTCTCTCTCTCTCTCTCTCTGCTATGCACATGTACCCTCTGGCATTAAAAATTTTTTTTTTAATTTCTCTTATGTCTAGAAGTAGAGACTCCAAGGTAACTATTTATAGGATCATCAAAAAAGTCATGACGCATTTTTGTATAGAAAAATACGTCATGACTTTTCTGATAACCAAATATTTTTTCTGGGGAACAAAAAGTAATTCAAAGGTCCTTCTTGGTTTTGTAAATGTGGAGGCCCACCATGTCCTAATCTTGAGAGATAAGAGAAACTTCTGTTACTATGACAAAGTTGCAAGTGCTTTTATTTTTGTCTTAATTTTTTGTTTATTCATTTTAATTTATTTTTTCCATAAAAATAGGACATAGGGAGAGCATCCCCAAGAGGCTCTCAACACTGCAATCTACCCCCAGCCTCAGCCAGCTGGGGGTCACAGGCATGAACATGCCCCATGTACATAGGGGCTCTCCAACCTTAAGCTAGTAAGCTTCCCATGTGGGTCAGCCTCACAGAGCAACACATTTCACCATTGTATCACATGTAGCCCTGGTTAGAAATTCTTAAGCCCTCTGGCATGAAAAACTAATGGACGAAGAGGTATATCAATTTGTAAAAGTCAAGTGACAGGCCAAGAAGTTTGACTTTATCTTGTATGTGATAGCCATAAATGTGGGGGGTTTTTTTATTTGTTTGTTTTTTGGTCTTTTAAAAAAGTTTATTTCTTCTATGGTGGGTGAGGGAGACAGACCCACAGGGTGCCAATCTACTCTCTTAGTCTCAGTGAGCTGGATCACAGGCACGCATGTACCTACCTAGTACGCTCAGGAAGGTCATAAGACAAACTCAGGACCTTTCCTTTGTAGGTCCAGTTGTACTAGCACTGCACCACCACCCAGCCCCCATAAATGGTTTGGGCATGATCAGATTTGTTATTTAGATGAGTCCCTCTGACTACAGCTGAGAGGGTGAATTTGATGGGTGGGCTGGAGGGCAATAGGTTAGAAGAAAGGTCAAGATTCCATTTCACTACTGTAGGCAAGAGCTGTTGAGAAGTTGAACTGATATTTAGGAGATATTTTTATAAACATTTAATCATCAACTGGACTGAGGTGGGATGAGTAACAATGAGAGATGTCTAGTTTGATTCCTGTTTCTTGATAAAGTAACTGGAGAGACTGTGGTGCTACTTACTAGGGGTATAGAATATGGGAGAGGTGCCATTATGAGAAATGGATTTTAAAACCCTCTCTCCCCTTCTCTCTTTCTTTGTCTCTTTCTTAGAATAAAGAAACTTAAGAAGACATAATATATAACTGCCAATATCATCAAGGAAGAGGATGATCTCTAAGGACATACAAAGAGGCAAATGCAACCTAGAGGAGGATTGATAGAAGACTGAAGTCTCCACTGCATTTGGCAGTCAAAAGGGGTATGGAGGACATTTTAATAAAAATTCCCTTGAAGTGCATAGATTTATTTTTTAATTTAATTCTTTCTTAAATAATTATTTATTAATTTTTGTTTATTATTATTTTAAAATTTGCTACAGGGCATGTGTGCTTACCAGAGAGAGAGAGAGAGAGAGAGAGAGAGAGAAAGCAAGCCGCTATGTCT